GCCGGAGGGAGGAGGAGGAGGAGCCGCAGCTCGGGATCCGGCCCCAGGCAGGTCACCATGCGTGCCCCCTCCCCCCCCCCCTGCGCGCGTGGGGGGTTCAGATCCCGCCTGGGAGAGGGGGACCCTGCGGGGCGCTGGGAACGGCCGCGCACTCGCCTGGACACACTTCAGTGGATGGGAGCTGCAGCCTGGGGGACGCTGAGCTTTGCGCAGGGGCCTCCGATTCCAGCACGGAAACCCCCGCCGTCCCCCATTGGCCCAGGAAATTTCCCAGCGTCTCTTTTGCCTCTGGCCTTCGCATTCTCCCATCTAGTTAAAAGATATTCTAGAGCTTAGTCTTGAATCTCTGGGAATTAGCGTTTGGTCTCAAATCCTACTGACTTTGCATTTTTTTTTAAGTCCAAAAATTCTGAAGTTCAGTTCGTGGTGGAGATCCAAATGTCCGTAAGTAATTTGAAGTAAATTATGGTATCATTATGCAATAGAATACTATACAGCAGGAAAAAAGAAGGAGATTGGTGTCCTGTGTTTGTGACATGGACGGGTCTCTCAAGTAACAGTTGAAAAATAACAAGGTGCAGAACAACGTTATCACTTAGAAGCATTTATGAATAAACTGATCACGGACACGTGCACATATATGCAAGAAACGTAGCAGTGTGTACTTTTAGGGAGGCAGGTGAGATACTGGAAATATGGTGGAGAGAGCCATTCAAAACTATCGATTAGGAGGAAGCTGCAGAAACAATGCACAGAGATCTTTCTGCCTCTACTCGTTTTGGTTACAGCTTAAGTATAGTACAGTATCAAAGCTGGAGACTGATATTGGTATAGTTCTGTATCATTTCATCACTTGTAACCTCACCACAATAAAAATACAAGTCTATTATCACAAAGATCTGGGAGAGGTTCCCCCCCCCAGTACTGGGGATTGAACTCAGGTCCTTTACCTACTGCTGGGTCCACACTTCCAGCCCCTTTTTGCATTAGTTATTTTCGAGGTAAGGGCTTGCTTTATGCCTAGGCTGCCCTCTAGCTGGGAGGACAGCACAGTAACCCTGCTCAGCCTTTGAGATGGGATCTGATGAGCTTTTCTAAAGCCTCAGCAGGCTCATACTCACATCTCTGCCTCCACATCCCTAGGATGGCAGTTTTGAGTCATTGCCCTCTCAGCTAGCCAAGATCGGAGAGACTTTTTTTTGGGGGGGGGTCCGGTCGTGGGGCCGGAACTCTGGGCCTGGGCGCTGTCCCTCAGCTCTTCAGCCCAGGGCTAGCGCTCTACCGCTTGAGCCACAGTGCCACTTCCGGCTTTTTTTCTTTTTGCTTATGTGGTGCTGAGGAATCGAACCCAGGGCCTCAGGCATGCAAGGCAAGCGCTCTACCACTGAGCCACCTTCCCAGCCGCGATCGGCGAGACTTTTTAACTGAATTTCTTGTTTCATTGTTTGTTCTCACCATGGGTTAGGATTACTTGATTATTTTATGCATTTATTTAAAATTTTTATCGAGGGAAAGAGGGGGGAGGGAGAAAAAAATAAAGTTTTATCTAATAAGATTCACTTTTTGGTTATATTGGTCTATGAGTTTTGGTGGATATGTAATTGTGTAACTATAAAAAAACAAACAGTTTCAGCAGGTGCTGGGGGCTCACACCTGTAATCCTAGCTACTCAGGAGGCTGAGATCTGAGGATCGAGGTTCAAAGCCAGCCCGGGGCCGGAATGTCCGTGAGACTCTTTATCTCCAATTAACCACCAGAAAACTGGAAGTGGTGCTGTGGCTCAAGTGGTAGAGCGCTCACCTTGAGCTGAAGAGCTCAGGGACTGTGCCCAGGCCCAGAGTTCAAGTCCCACCACTAACAAAAAAATACAAAAAGTACCACCAGGGATCCCTGGGGTGTAGCTTTTGAATATACAGAGGGGCTCGTGGGTCAATCTCCAGCACCAGAAGGAAAAAAGAAGCTCCACTTTCCATCTCTCTTGCATCACTTCACAGAATGCTATATAAATAGTGTGACAGCTGTGTCATGTTTTTGGATCTGGCAGTCCCTTACTAAACTAGCAAAACACATTTAGGATTTGCCCATTTTGTCATCTTTAGTAGTTCATTCCGTTGTATGGCTGACTAGTATTCCATTATTGTGTGAATATGTCACAATTTATGTAGTTAAAGGAGGTTTAGTTATTTTCTGCTATTTTTACAATTATGAATAAAGAACTATATACAACTGGGTGTAGGTTTTTGTGCGAACATGCTTTTATTTCCCTTGAGTGACTTTACCCAGGTCTGTATAATAATTTATTACTTGTATAGACTGAAGTCACAGATTTATTTTTTAAAGTTTTAATTTAAAAAAATGTTGCTTGGGATTAAACTGGTTCTCACATAGTAAGCACACACATGACCATTGAGGTACACCCCATAATTTACACATTAAAAATTGTATATAGGATACAATATGATGTTTTCATAGCTGTATACTACATTATGGAATGATCAGATCAGTGTAATTAACATATACCTCCAAATACCTTTGTGGTGGTAAACATTTAAAATCCTCGGTTTTAGGGGCTGGGAAGGTGGCTCAGTGGTAGAGCGCTTGCCTTGCATGCCTGAGGCCCTGGCTTCGATTCCCCAGTACCACATAAAACAAAAAGAAAAAAAAGCCAGAAGTGGGGCTATGGCTCAAGTGGTAGAGCGCTCGCCTTGAGCTGAAGAGCTGAGGGACAGCGCCCAGGCCCAGAGTTCAGGCCCCACAACCGGACCCCCCAAAAAAATAATAAAATCCTCGGTTTTAGATACTTTGAAATACACATTGTTATTGGCTGTGATGAATTTGGGACATTGGGACATGGGCAGCAATTCCTCTTATCCAGCTGTAACTTCGTAACCACTGACCACCCTCTCTCCTTTCCGCATCTGTCCTGGTCCCAGACTCTGATAAACAACATTCTACACTCAACTTCCATGAGTTCAGCTTTCTTAGATTCCACACAATGCCTTCTACATTTATCACCATTATCACAGATGACAGAATTTCCTGTTGTTTTAAGGCTGAATAGTATTCCATTGTGTATATATATATATACCACATTTAAGAAACCCCTTGTCTGTTGATGGACGTTGGTTGTTTCCCTGTCTTGATCATGGTGAGCTGCAGCAAACATGGGTGTGCAGACATCTCTTCGGAATTCTGGTTTCAATTCCTCTGGGAATTTCCCCTGGGGTGAAGATTGATGGATCCAATGGTGAATCTATGCTTAGTTCTTCAAGGAATCTCCATACTATTTTTTTTTTGTCAAAATGGCTGGTTTTTTTTTAACGTGTTGCTTAAAAAAATCCTAATATATCAACAAATTTCATCTAGTACCTTTGGCATCTCAGAGTAATGTAAAAAACCAAACCAAACCAAACCACGAGATTCCTTTCTGTGGCATTTGTGAGACCTCTAAGATGTTGGCCCAAAAGGTCTAGCAATAATAAAGTCACTGTCTCTGATCTCAGCTGCAAGTGAGCTTTTTCCATTCTCTCTTGTAACGTAGAGTGGAAGCAACTTCTTTCTGGCTTGGGATGACATGGGCTTTAACAAGTTATTGGTGACATTCCTATGTAGGTTGTCCTTCATGTTCTGCAGGTAATGTGAAACAAGGCTGCCAGGACCTCAAAATAAAGAGGGTTCTGTCCACCACCACTGCTCTTGCATGAGCAGTTTACAGCAGAGGAAGGTTTAACTTGAAGAAAGGATGTGGATGCATTTATGGGAAGGAAAAGGAAAAGAGCAGCAGGGTCAAGCACGTGATTAAGTATTCTCCCTTCTAATTGGCCTCCATGACCCATTAATCAGGTGACTCTTACAGTCACCCAATCAGAACCTCAAGGTTTTCAGCTATTGTGACCATTACAGGTGATAATGTAATACCTGTTAACATGTTATACTAGGGATATTACTCATGCATTATCATAGTTTTAGAAGTAATATATACAATTTTTCATCTCCTTCCATCCCACAGAGCTGAGCAGTACCAAAATAAATCCTTTCAAAAACAGTAGGTCAGGAATTTAGAAGCCTAAATTTATTTTCTCTTATTTATTTATTTATTACTAGGGCTTGAACTCAGAGCCTGGTGCTTTTGTTTGGCCTTTATTTTTTTTTTTGCTCAAGGCTTACCCTACCACTTGAGTTATCCATCTAGTCTAAGTTTAAATTTCTGATTATAAAGCATTACATGCTCATTAATAAAAATAAGTTTTTAATAGAAGTATAAATAAACTATGACACTACTAACCAGAGATAAATGCACATTTTGGCACA